GGGCTGTTTGATGGTTCACATCGTCGAAGTGTTTACGTCCGATGATCACAGTATCCAACCTGGATTTTTACAACAATTTATTATGTCAATCGTTCTAAAGCATGTCCCCCCGACAGTCCGGATAATCGACGTTCTACTGTACACTGAAAATATAGCAAAATTGGAATGTCATTAACTCATTTCTTTTTCCATAATCATACCTTTCCGTTGTTTTTCAACGTTTATATTGTATGATGCGATTGATAAGTAAAAATGTGATGTGAAATGGAAATCTGAGTTTCCATACCAGATTGTTTTGTATGATTTCAATAAGGTCCTCGTCTCATATCACTAAGAATGGTTATGAGATTGCATATCTTTATCTATCATTGATAAGGATAATTGTTACTGTTTTTTGGACAATATTGATGATGAAACACAATAGCATACAATATAAGCAAACTTAAATAATCTCTATGGTATATTCTCATCTTGTACATGTATGACTGTAATGGGACATGATTTGTACTGTGTGATGCGTTGACTTCATGTTATTTGTATTCATACTTCCTGTCACAGCACTGGATTTCCATCTCAGTAATCTGGTGCTTCGTTTTTCTTTCTCTTCTTTTGCAATTTTTTCATTTTCAAGTTTGAGAGAAAATCTGAACAGGTAACTGTTTTCACATCCCTGCTTTGATTGTGTCCATCTTACAATAACATTAAGGTGATCAAAAATGCACAGAGCTAATTCTTCACTCAATTTACGTGAAACAGATGTATTGATATTACTAATGGCTAGGTGTACAAGTATATACTGTGGAATACTTTATTTTCGTTGGAGTTAATTTTCACTGAAACAGCTTTTTATTTTCACTGATTTTTGATCAGTTGAATGTGAAATATAGGAAAAAAAGTATATTCTCTGGATTTTATTTTCACTGAATCATCCCTTCAGCAAAAATAGCGAAAATAAATTCCAATCGCAAATAAAGTATTTTACATTACTACTGCTGACTAGCTATGTAGCTTCCTGTATTGTTCACTCAACCACTGTCATAAACTTACCATTACTGTATTTGTCCTGAAGAAGGGGTTATATTTTTGGGCCATGGTGATCTTTTGGCACATTTTGACATTGCTCGTACCATCAAAGATGTAAGGGAAAGGTATATTAAGGGACAAATTTCTATCTGGCGTTGTCGTCGTCATAATAATTAAAACAAATGTACTGTTTTTGTAAGATATTTACATCTATCAAGGACATTCGGTTTCCCAAAAGTTGTCTGTATTCAAAATTAATTATGACAATGCATATTCATATTGAAACAAACTATGATAAAGGAAATAATGTTATATAACAAAGGGCAAGGTCACCAGAGTTCAACTATGTTTTTTATCACATTTTGAAAACAAGAAATTAGGATTTTTGCTTATTCAACAACTGTGATAACAGCTCATTGTTATACAGAATACATCTATTCACACTCATTATTCATCATATTCTTGAATCGGCGAGAGTGACTACAAAAAAAAATTAGACTCTCATTTAAGCGCAGGAAAGATTGAAATGTGTTTACGGCATATTTCTGAAACTTTTCTCTACACTATATGTTTTATGTGCAATCAAAAGATCACTCACCTTGCCAAAACATCGTCCATGGGTGAAGTTTTGAATGGATGGTTTATCGGATAAATATGGTAAATGTGCTGCTTTCACTAACAAATAGATGCAAGTATTTTGCCTTTTGCAGAGTTTTAATGGCTGCTAAGAAACCAGTTTATATAGGGTACTCACTTATTATATTATCAATGTCAGCAAATTGCTATGTTTGCATGGACACTCTTAACCCTAAGAATTTTCTCAATTTTTCTCACCAAAAATTTAATGTGTGCAATATTGCATTTTTTTCTGTAACTCCTTTGTTAATTTTGGACCAAATAGACATATTCCCCCAAAAAGTTACAAGTTTAGTCTATAGTTTTTATGAAAAAAATGCAAACATTTAGGCAGGTTTTACTTGGGATAGGTGACAAAAGCTGACTTTAGTGTTCAAATAGGTTAAAGTTGCGCAAAGCTCCAGAAAAGAGTTCTCAGTTTTTTTATTTGCTCCCCTTAGGATGCACTTTATGAACTAGAGGACAAATATAAGAAAGCTATGATGACAAATGCACAGCTGGACAATCAGAAAGCAGCTCTTATTTACCAAGTGGACACTTTAAAAGATGTTCTTGAAGAACAGGAGGAATGTATGCAGGAGTTACAGAGAGAAGCCAGGGAAAAACATAGGGTGAGTTATTGGGAATGTACTGTGAGAACATAGGGTGAGTTATTGGGAATGTACTGTGAGAACATAGGGTGAGTTATTGGGAATGTACTGTGAGAACATAGGGTGAGTTATTGGGAATATACTGTGAGAACATAGGGTGAGTTATTAGGAATGTACTGTGAGAACATAGGGTGAGTTATTGGGAATGTACTGTGAGAACATACGGTGAGTTATTGGAAATAAACTGTGAGAACATAGGGTGAGTTATTAGGAATGTACTGTGAGAACATAGGGTGAGTTATTGGGAATGTACTGTGAGAACATAGGGTGAGTTATTGGGAATGTACTGTGAGAACATAGGGTGAGTTATTGGGAATGTACTGTGAGAACATAGGGTGAGTTATTGGAAATAAACTGTGAGAACATAGGGTGAGTTATTGGGAATTTACTTTGAGAACATAGGTGAGTTATTGGGAATTTACTTTGAGAACATAGGGTGAGTTATTAGGAATGTACTGTGAGAACATAGGGTGAGTTATTAGGAATGTACTGTGAGAACATAGGGTGAGTTATTGGGAATGTACTGTGAGAACATAGGGTGAGTTATTAGGAATGTACTGTGAGAACATAGGGTGAGTTATTGGGAATGTACTGTGAGAACATAGGGTGAGTTATTAGGAATGTACTGTGAGAACATAGGGTGAGTTATTGGGAATGTACTGTGAGAACATAGGGTGAGTTATTGGAAATAAACTGTGAGAACATAGGGTGAGTTATTGGGAATGTACTGTGAGAACATAGGGTGAGTTATTGGGAATGTACTGTGAGAACATAGGGTGAGTTATTAGGAATGTACTGTGAGAACATAGGGTGAGTTATTGGGAATGTACTGTGAGAACAAAGGGTGAGTTATTGGGAATGTACTGTGAGAACAAAGGGTGAGTTATTAGGAATGTACTGTGAGAACAAAGGGTGAGTTATTGGGAATTTACTTTGAGAACATAGGGAATGTACTGTGATTAATTTAGGGGAAATGTACTGGGATTGTATTGTATTGGGAATGGGAATGTACTATGAGAATTTGACCTGTATGGCAAGACTGCATTTCTCACTTGTGAACATTTGCTCATTTAATATTTTTCACTTTGAATAATTTGTTTAATTCTCATTCTTTCTTATCATAATGTTTCATTTGTTTGCAGGATTTAGAATTATGCAAACGTGAGAAGATGAAATTAACATATGATGTATCAGTATGTAAAGAAATGTTGAAACAAAGAGATGACCTTATAGAGGTGTGTAAACCAGAGTGTACATGTTGATAGCTGGTCATAGTCTATTTGATGGTATTAGGTTGTATAGTCTCTTTTTTCAGCAATTCTCCATGGCATCATCATATTTCCTGTAGTTGTAGAAATTCCAGGAGTTTGAATTGAATATTTTAATATTTTATTTCTCAATAGTATGAAAATTTGTTAAAATGTGGGCATTTCATAATCATATGCTGATAGCAATACATGTTTCTTTTTCTTTTTTACTCCATTTCACTAGTTGGACCCTGTTTCTCATTGTACAATTGAATACATTGTACATATAAAAGTATTCCTCTTGCCAAAATATAGTAGACTCTGATGATAAAAATTGTCAGAGCATAGTCAGGAACAGGGACTTTCATTTTGAGCTCTGTGTATTGTCATTTTTCGGATATGCCCTGACCTGGGCAACAGTTGGTACAATGACAAGTCACAATGGTATACACATATGTACATCTTGATTTGTATTTTGTTTTGGTCCCCAAAACAACAAATACTGTTAAAATCCTATTATAAACCGCGGTTTATATTACAATGTATCAAATAAAAAATTGGGATCATCAGCTCAAGTTCGGGGTGCGGTTTATATTAGGGACATATTGCAATCACTAAATGGGCATGGTCATTTTTTCCCCACTCCCCATCACTTGCACAAAACAAACAATACACCGTACAATCTTTTGAATAAAGCTAACTCCAATTTAGATGTCAGGGAAGAGTGATAAGCGTCACGTCACAAAAAAACTGTTCACATAATAAAAAAAAATACTCGGTATATTTAATGTAATATGCATTTATTTTTTAGCTCCGCTGTCGACTTTGTCGAGCGGAGCTTATCATATGAGTGATTGTCCGTCGTCGTCGTCCGTGTCAATGTTTTACTTTTTCGACTTCTTCTTGAAAACTACAAGCCTGAATGCTTTGATACTTGGTGTATATGTACCTTGGGTAGACCTCTCTCAGATTTGTTCATTTCATGATGATATCTTCAATTCTCTAATTTTGGTGAATATTTTTGTCATTTTTAGTAAAAAGTGATATTTTCGACTTCTTGTTGAAAACCGCAAGTGCAATTGCTTTGATATTACATATATAGGTACTACATGTGGACCTCTCTCAGATTTGTTCATTTTGTAATGATATCTTTAATTCTCTAATTTTGGTGAATATTTTTGTCATTTTTGGTAAAAAGTGATATTTTCGACTTCTTGTTGAAAACCGCAAGTCCAATTGCTTTGATATTACATATATAGGTACTACATGTCGACCTCTCTCAGATTGTTCATTTTTGACTCCCATGTGCGAAGCACAAAATGGGAGTCTTTGCAGTTAGTGTGTCCGTATGTGTGTATGTGTGTATGTGTGTGTG